TTTCAAAGCACTTCACAGAATATTCTCTCTCTGTGCTGCATCCCTCTTTTCCTAACTCGCCGACACGGCTCTCAAGCAGATACTTATTCATTTCTGGTTTAATTGGCTCAATGGCGACTTGTGCGGTTGAGAGTCTGCTCCACATATCCCCTGCGCAGGTCAGGCTGCCTCACACAACCTGCTCCAAAGCCTTTACGGCTATTGTAACCAGATTATTCTGCTGCAGACCCAGTGGAATCACGGCTGATGAATGGTGGGTTAGGTTTGTAACGGAGACTGGTTCAGAACTCTCGTTACAGGTCAAACACAACGGAAACTTTGTGAACAAACTTTTAAGTAGTTGGTGGAATTGTGCCCACCTGTTCTAATAACAAGGACAACACAATCCACATTTCTAGTTATGTAGCGCCTTTCACATCGTCCCAAGGTGCTTGACTATGACTACTTTACAGCAAAATGTCCGAGTTTTGTACGATTAAAATTTCAGAAAACTTGAGATAGACATCGGACAACAATAGGCCTTCAGATGCATTGGGTAAAGAAATCCACACATTATATCCATTCAGAGTTACACCATATAGGATAATAAACAAGTTGCAGTGATATGTCAAACTGACCTGGGAATGTGTAGGCAATGTCCATTCACATTACCTCTCCACATATCACACAGCTGGGACAGGAGAACGCACAAGAAGCCAACCTTTGAGCTGAGCCTCAGTGAGATCCAAACGTGTGTGAAGCCAACTCTCAGCCTCATTAACTGGCAGAGGAGCCCAGGAGCCAACGCAAACACGCGGGCAGCCAAGCACCAGAGACACCAGTCTGCAGCTGAGACTCAGACTCAGACCATCTATCAGGCTATCATCTGTAATAAGAGGAGTATTTGATATTGAGTCGCTATGTCACCAAGAGGCACAAGTTGCTGCTAATGTTTTGGAAACCTTGTTGACAAGTGAACACAGGATGGTGTAACTCATATGAATGAGCATAAATAATATTAGTGCTGATAGCTTGCTTCACAAGCACTGACTCCATTACGAGAATATCCAGCCGATATCCAGCCGAGTACCATTAGGTGAAGAGTATTCCCCCCCCTTCCCCCACATGACGTATGAAAGGACTTTGGTGCAATCACTTTACCAGGAGACATTTGAAAGGACTTTCATCCAGATTCCAGATATGCTTGTGCTTTACATTATACTGATGGATTTGCATTGTGTGTTACAAGGTGGAGGTGCCAGGCTCCTTACGATAGTGACTTCAGCGCCATCCCCCCCACCATCCCCCACCACCACCCGGAGCATATCTTCACCAAACAGCTTCCATTACCATCCTCACAGATTCATAATAGCAAGCCATGCTCTGTAGTCTTGTGGGCAGAACAGTTGAGATGAGTCAGATTGAGAATCTCAATGGTTTGCCTGTGTGGGCTGGAGACTTCTAACTGCACTTTATATAAAAGCAAAAGATAGTTACCCAACACATGTGGGAACATCTTCACACCCACTATTGGAGAGTTATATACTACTCTTTTTGACAGTGGCTTAGTTATCATCATCTTAACATCATCCAGTGGCATTTTGTGTAGCGAGACTTGATACCATATATGGTCTGTCTAATGCGCAGCACACTCACAATAAATGATTATAATAAATTATCTTTGGAGACAATTCTAATCCTTGAACAAGAGCATCATTTCAGTGTTGTGATAATCAAACTACACTGCCTATATATTATATATATATATATATATAAAAAAGGTTTGTTTATAACATGTCTACTTGCAGTGGTAATTCACTCTATCAACAAAATTGTTTCTTCAAGGATTTTGATGACTATTGCATTCCATTGATTTTTGACCATAAACGTTTTTTTCAAAAATGAGCATTTAAGATGACAGCATTAGGTGCTGGGGGGGGCACTACTTTGCTGGAGGTGTGACTTCCTTCAGTTGAGAAACCGGGTTCCAATCTGCCTGTTCAAAGTCGATGTTAAAGATCTCATATCACTATTTGAAAAGGGGGTTTCTCTCTCCCGGTCCTGGCCAACAATCCCCATGACACAAAATGTAAAATACAGCAGATGCTGGAAATCTGAAACAAAAACAGAAGTCGCTGGGAACCTTCAGCAGGTCAGGCAGCATCTAATGAACAAAGGTTCTGATGAGGGGTCATGAACTGGAAACGTTGACTCACTTTCCTTTCCATAAATGCTGCCTGACCTTGGGACGTCCTCCCGACGTGAAAGGCGCTATACAAATGTAATTTTGTTGTTGTTGTTGACCTGCTGAGTGTTCCCAGCGAGTGTTCCCCGATACAACTGATCACCCACTTCAAGGCTGTGTGTTGCACATTGCTGTGCACAAAAATTGGCTGCTGAGTTCATCTTCAAAATATATAGTCACTGCACATTACAGTAAATCATTGAGACAACAAGATTACATTTGTATAGCGCCTTTCACATCGGGAGGACATCCCAAGGCGCTGGACATTCTCCTGAAATGAAAGATTCTATATCAAATACAAGGATTATTATTATTGTCAAACGTGTGAAGTGTTGGACTTCTTATGTGGGTTTTTCTTCCATCTGAAGGTCGGTGAAAGTGTATCTAACTTCACGTCACTGCAGACAATAAATTGGCGCTATCAGCTAACTCTCAACTAAGCTGTTTCACCGAGCTCCAGGGAATTGTGTTAGTAAAGCCAGTGATGACAGTGTGTGCATAGATGAATATTCTGGTGTTCTGTTTGATAACCTTCGGAGAATATCTGTGGGGAATTTCACCTGCAAAGATTAGATGGGCGGAATGGGGCAGAATGTGTGTGGTCTGTGGAGGAACTCGATGGGCTGTGGATCTGTGAATATAAACCAGTTCCAAGTGAGCAACCTCCACTGCAATGTTTGCTCGAAGCTCAGACACATGCACGTGTAAAACACACGCACGGTTTGTTAACCAAGTACTGGATGTGGGGAGAATGCTGTGCATTATGTCCTTGTGTGTGGGGGGCGGTGGGGGGGGGGGGGAGATGGGGAGCTGACTAGATTTACAGCTTGTTGTTAACTTGTGGATAACTGTTAACCTGACCCTTTCATTGGCTTTTGTTTTCTTTTGGAAGCAGTAAAATTCCCGAGACATTTACAACACCTCTTCGTGTAGCTATCCTTGTTTTCATTACTTTGACTAGAAGGAAATCCCTGGCTTGTAAATCATACAGAAGTTCTTTACATTGTGGCACCTTTTACTACAAGTCAGTCAAGCTGAAACCTTGTGTAATTTTTGTATGAATCGGCTTCATTTTGTGGAACGTTCCATGGCCGTATTTCTTCTTTTGTTTGCACTTTATTTTTCTGTAACCATTTCCAGAGAGGCTTTCTCAACGTGCTTTCTGTAGGGTTGAGCATATTTTTTCCCATTTCCGAGCAGTATAATTGAATTCCTTTGTGCCTTTGAGTAAGAACTCATATATACAATCATCCTTCGAACAAGTGACCTGATTTTACGCTGTGTTTTTATTTCATCAATAAATGTTAATCATTGTGTTAGTTTGGACATCTTTCATTTACAGTATATCCTTTGCAGTATAAACTAGAGTTTCCATATAAGTGCAGTTTTACAGCAATATGGACTGCCACAGATTTATTTGGTCTATAAAAATATCCAGTTTGTCTTTGGAGGCTCTTATGTGGAAGATAAATTAATTTGTGAGAATTGCTTTCTGTGATTTTTTTGCTTAAATTCTGTTAGAGCCTCACACTATCATTATCTGAGTCTGCTCTTCAGGGCCATGTTTCTTAATGGCTCAATCTGCTTGTTGTTCAGTGTGGGCCGTTACCTTGTTCAGCATCTAGTTGGGAAAGACCATCTGAGGCAGCAACTCAAGTATGAAGCCATCAAAATTGGGCAGGTGTAAAACTTTGCCAGCTAGCACTTCAGGGCAGTTCCTAATGGATATGGTTTACAAGAAAGACCTTCCCTAACGGCTCCTGTCACAGCTGGTGAACAGACAACATCCTAAACCCCAAAGCAACGACTTGGCCCAATAGTCAGAACACGGGCAGTGAGATAATGTGCCGGGCTAGACTGTAAGTGGAGAGGAACATCTCCAAGTAAATAAATACTTTGCAGATTCCCATTTGCCCTTTTTTATTCCCTGAGGATTGTTGAAAGCAGCTGATTGTCACTACAAGACAAAATGGCAACTCAATTAAATAGCAAAACCAAATGTGGCGATTGATGCCTTTAGGGTAAGTCCTTTGGCTTTACAGCACTTTGTGTTGAAATATTCGTAGCATAATTAAAATGTTGTTTCAGAGAGGCTGATGGACTAGACGGGAGGATTTAACCATTGGAAATGATTGATGGATGATGTGTATTTATGGTGTAGGTAAAACCACTAGCAAATCTGTGTAAGATTGTCACAACTCTAAAGCTTGCGTACTCATGCTGGGAAATAAGCCACGTTTAATTTGGCCTTTCTGTTAGCCACATTTTAATCCTCTTTCATTGTGCAAATCTCTTGAGGTATCAAGGTTCACTGACTTTGACAAATCTTTCTGTCTGTGATCCCAAAGACAATAAGCCAAACACTTACTTAAGTCCCACCTGAACATGAAATATTAGAGAAATTTTTTCATTTTTAAACATTAACAAATGTGGAATTTTGCAAATGTTTTATTTATGACTGGTGATTTGCTGGGAAAAATATTAGAAAAATAACCATATTTTTGTTTTTAAAATAATGAATGTAAATTGTATTTAAGAATTGCCCTTTTATTTGTTCTCTGTGAATATTCCCATTGGATCTCCCCTGTGACACTCCCTGGTGCCTTTGTGTTTAATCTGATCCCAGGCTTTCAGCAGAAGGAAATGCCAGCCAGGCCTATTGCCTTTGTCAGGCCAAGCGTGACTGTTGGTAAACCTCAGGTTGGTTACCTGATGACTGAAAAATGCTCTGAATGTGAACAGTAAACAGGTGTATCTTTTCTTTGTTCTTTTCCAGGTCGACCTTACACCAAGGCAGCGCCTTCTCTCTCTTTACCCCTGGCAATGGCTGGAATCTCAAGGGGGTAAGTGCTTCTCCACTTGGAATGACTTTGTTCAGCAGGAGGGTATGTGGTGGGTTGTAACCTACTCCAATGTTCTTATCTGTGGAGCTTGGAGTTTGATGAAGCAGTGTTAGATACTGTGTAATGCTTCATTATACAAACATATTTAATGCTAGATACTGTGTATTTGACTTTAAAAAATTCTCAGCAGATCCTAGCAGAGAGGATTTTTCTGATGATCTATGTTCTCTAGTGAGGTTGAAATTTCAACACCCTTCCACAACACCCCCTCCCCTCCCACCCCTACTTGCAGAAGGAACATTTCCATGTTTGTATGTATAGCTGCTGTATGATTCATGTGTTCATCACTATGCAAAGGATCCGCACAAAGTAGTCAAAATGGAAACCATTTAATTCTTTGTGCAAAAAGAGTCCCCCACGGGAGGGGGTGAACGGCTAAACTTAGCTCACGTGTGGGGCTGGTGTGAAGGTTTATGACTCGCACCATGCGACCACCTTATGTTGATAGAAGGCTTTGTTCCTCTCACTTTCTCCGGTATGCAATACCCTTGTTACTCAGAGATGCAAAAACAGTCAGCTTTTCCATGCCATGGAGAGAGTACAGTATTTCTAATTGCTGAGTTTTTTTTTATATACCACTTGTTGATCTCTTCAACACCTCCTCCCCACCCCACATTGGCAGGTTAGGGTCTAAATCCCAGTGATTTCAAATAGGAATCTTTAATTAAGGAAGGTAACACAGACTCGCAGGGACTCACTCCACCACAGTTTACTCTGGGAGTGTAGTCCCTGTGGGTCAGAATGACACTAATGTTTATCCAGGAAACCACACTAGGATTCTTTACTGAGGGTGAAAGGCGCTCTGCAAATGTAATGTTGTTGTTATTGAGGGAATCTTATTTGAAGTTGCCAAATTTTAAACTCCAACCCACCTCCTAGTTGTCTATAAAGTCGAGCCCCCGTTATAACATGGTGGTTGGGAGTCCATTAAACCCCCAATCAGCTGTAGCGGGGCACAATCGCAGCTCAGGTTCTCTGGCCAGTGCTTCCCACCCTGGTAACTGAGGTACTCTGGGCTGGACTGACAGTGTTAGTGACCAGTGATGTACTCGCACAGACAGGAGCCAATACTCCTTTTTTCGGTTACAATTTTTAATTTAACTTCAAAGCCTTTGAGGGGGAACAGCGCAGTGTGAAACAAGACCCAGTGTCTAATTTTAGATGGACTTTGTGCCTGTCACTGCTCAAGCCAGGGAGACAGAAGCTCAAATAGATCTCAGTGGGAAAACCACAAAAATATCAATAGTTTAAAACGCTATGGTTAACTACTTCATTACTTGTTTAGACTGTTGTAAAGTATGATATTTACAATCTATCTGAAAAAATTCAATATCAAATCAATATGCAATCGCCTTTGGGAAATTTGTTGGTAATAAACACCTTTTGAATGGTTAAAAGTCTGGCTGGAGTTAATGTAAATAAGATGTTGCTGGTTACTGCAGAGATGTTTTTATAAAACTAGAAAAAAAATCAGTCGGGCTCAACCTTTATACAATCCCAGCCTAACTCGTTCCCAATGATTTCAGTTCATTTTATTTTGTTGCTGAAATGAATAAGTCTCTATTTGTGGCCACCAAGTGCCAGGGTCAAGTTGTCGCTGGACAGAGGCAGAGCAAAGCTCCCTTCACACTCTTCCAACTTGATGACTTTCTGTAAACCTTGGGAGAATGTGTGTCTCCTAATGGAGCGGTGTGACATCGCTGTCCCTGTGGCCTTTCTCAGGGCGATTAACACATTACAGGAGTGGTTTTATGCTGTGGACGTGGGGCAGGATTGTCTGAACGGCTTTGGCTAAAAGCCAGTGACTAAAAACCCAACATGACTGCGTGGGATTGGAAACCAGGCAAGTCCCCGGGGTGAAAGGTCAATGTTCCAACCCATTACACCGCCCATTTCCTAGTTCCAAATGTACTTGAATAAACACTTACTATTATTGGGTATGGGGGAGAAAGTGAACAATTGATTTTGTTGATGTCTGTAACTCTTTGCATTTCAACAAAATCAACTGTTTTTTCCCTAAACCATACTTTGCTTATTAATCTTATTAATCTCATCCAATGCCACTTTAAAACAATTACAATTCTTTTTGAAACAAAATACAAGTGCTAAAGTGTCAGACTTCCCCTCAGGCTGGGCTAACAGCTGATAAATTGTCCTAGGAGCAGGAGGAGGCCATTTCAGGCCATCGAGCCAATCATGCTAGTTTATTGAGTCATCTTTTAATTCCATTTCTCTGCCTTTTCTTCATACCCTTTAATATTTCCTCCCACATATGAAGGTTCTGTCTGTGAAGCGCTCTGGGACGCTACCCTGTGTGAGGGGCGTTAAATAAACACAAGTTGTTGTTGTTGTTCCCCACACAGTACATTTTCAGAGTCCCTGATAGTCACCAACCGCGGAAAATAATATCGTCCAGAATTACTTTTTCACTAAAACTTTTAACTTTTGTATATTTTTTCTGAAGAGACTATTCACATACTGTTCAGATATGGTTGTAATTTTAGATTTGAGGTTTGTTGGTCTTTTATGTGTTACACCATGCTTAGCCTCGTGCTAACAGCGGTTGGCATTGCACAGTTGGAAGTCAGGGCTTTGAGCTACAAATAGCAAGTATCCATTCTACCCAACTCACATCCTTCCATCTGAATCCTGAGTTTGTTTCCTTAATGGATCACAAAATAAAACAAACTTCTACCAATTCACTAACTACAAATTTACTTCAACACTAACTAACTATCCAGCGCTTTGGGACATCCTCCCGACATGAAAGGCGCTCTACAAATGTAGTTTTGTTGTTGTATATTTGATGCAGTTGAACGGTATCTGATGGGTTTATGACAGATGTTGAAGATTATTGAAAACTGTTTGGAAGTCGTGAGCAAAAAGTAAATTGCTTGTTTAAATTTGAAGCTTAATGTCCTGCTGCACAAGTACAAAGTTAAACCAATGTGGTGTGGGAGGGAGTTTTTTTGAGGGGGGTAGTGAGGTTGAGGGGCAAGAACCTTGTTTTCCAATTGACAAGCGATGAACCTCACTGTTCATTGTTAACCATTTAAAACTGAAACAGATTCCATAGCCATTAAAGTGGGTTAGCTATGCTATTCATTACAGTCTCTCCACAATCCCCTGAAGCTCTGTGCTTGTTTCTAACTTTATCAATGGTTGAGGTCTGCTCTGGACTGAATAGTAATGTCTACAAAGCAGTTATATTTTAAGGATCCCTTCTTGTTCTGCTGTAACTTTGAGCAATATTTCACAGCTTTCCGTTGGTTTATAATGTTGTAAAAATAGTCCAGTATGTTGACTGGCAGCATATAGTTGTTTACTGCACCAAAGCAATGTGTCCTCAATAGGCAGAATCCTGCTTGATGCACTCACTCTGTGCTGGAGGCAAAGAGCAATTCTGCTCGGCCAATTCAGTCAAGGCATCAGGTCCTACAGGAGGCTTCCCCTGTGCCACATTGCTGTACTTTTGAGAGCCACATTGCTTTGATTCCAGCAGTATAAACAGGGCACTAAATAACCAAAGGGTTAATGACAGACGGCGTAAGTGCTTCCTGCAATTGTGAGGCTTTATGGATAAATGAAGTTTCCAAAGTATCTCCCGACAGCACGCAAGCACATGATGTCATCAGTTACACTGTAAATGTTTACATTTTCATTCTTTTTATTTAACGTTTATAGCTTTCTTCATCCATTGTCCATTCATCCATCAGGAGGCTCAGTTCTGGTTAGGATCACGGCTTGTGAGAGACTGTTATAGGGCTGTTATTGTGTCTCTGGGTGGAGGGAAAGGCTGCACATTCTCTGGCTAAGTGGCGCCACTTTGAATTACTGAAGTCAAACAGTTGGCAGTTTATATGTGTTGGGTGGCATGCTTTATCAGAGGGCTGACTTTTCACCAATTGGGCTTGAGTCTGAATCCAGGCAAAACAGAATACACAAAAGCCAATCCTATCCTCTGTTCCCAATTAGATAAACAATGAAAATGAGCGGCCTATATCGTCATCGCAACATATGCTTTGCTTGGCTGCATGTGGCTCCCACATGTAAAGCAAATTTTACCCAAGTTGGAAATGATGGTTCTTATTCTTGCTAGCAGCAGCTATTGGGATGCAAGAACCACATTGGGGGAGCGTTGGTTACAGGGCTATTAAGATTTGTTTGTTTGGTCTTGTATCTTGGCAGCAAATCTCTGATGAATTACTGCGGTAGTTTGGCAGGAGCTCAGATCACAGGCAGACATCGGGTGCTCTAACCCTCAAGTAAACTTTACCACTCCACTGACTGAAATAAAGCATGGCTGTTGTACAGTGTGCGGAGAATAGACTGGGAAAGTCTCTCTAGCAAAAAAATTTAGCAACTTTGATGAAATAGGTTTATTGTAGGAAAATCCCATCAGGTGTCAGGCCTCTTGCCTCTGAGTCAGAAGGTTTGGGTTCAAGTCCAATATCAAGGGCTTTGAGCTCATATTCTAGGCTGACACTCCAATATGCTTTACTTTGTGGGCACTGAATGTCCATGTCTGTGTAGTGTTTCCCAACCCAGCCATTCTCAATCCTGTGTCACTGCACTTGATTTACAGACTTCATTGTGTTGCACATTTCCTGACAGCCTGTTTCCTTTGGGGATGCGGAAAACTAATCTGACTATTACTGTGGAGCTGGGCTGTGGTGAAGAAGACCCTTTAAGAAACAAAGATGGGTCACTATGGAACATCAGGTGCAGCTGTGACATGTTTAATTTCCTTACCACATTCCTTACAGAAGTAGCGGAGAACACAGCAAAAAAAACATATAAATAAATAGATGTATATTGTATCATTCACCTACAAAATACACAGGAACCACACATTAAATAATAATAATAAACCTTGCGTTTGATATAGTGCTTTTCATGTGAGGAGAACATTTCGAAGTGCTTTGCAGGATTCAGAGTAA